GAGCTACTTCCTAAAGAATACTGACTAGGTTTTTTTCATTATGAATTGTAATTTAGAAAACATTAATAAGGGAAATTTAGAAAGAAAGTGCTTTTTAATTGGACAATTTTTTAAAGGAAAAACTGTTTTCATGCAGCGTCCTAATTTTGTTGAAAATACATTAAGTGGTTATCCTCACCTCGTCTGTACGCTTATTTGTCATCTGGAGTTTACTGTTTTGGGAGTAAGACCTTCAGCTAATCACTTAGAAGCATGTATTTCATGTTTTTGTCTAATTTGGAGCCACAAGGGACAACTGCAGCAAATACCACTGATACATCTGTCACAGTGCAGAACCCATCTACTAACAACGTCGTTGCATCTGTGGGTTTGGAGCCTCATGGCAGTAGTGCAGAAATCTTCGGTAATTGCAGGCATTTTTAGAAAGGGAGACTGACCTATTTTGCAAAATTACCATGAAATATCCCGCCAGGAAGACAATGTACTTTCTTTGAATACACTGTCTGGAACTACTTGCAGTAAGAGTCCCTTCTGCCTCTTCCACCTTCAGTCAGTGAGGAAGAGGTCCTAAGTATGTAACACAGGAAGAGTCACTAGTGTGCTACCCTTAAAGTCATCAGTTCTGCTCAGCTGGCTTGCTACCTTATTTTTATACAACTGCGTTGATATCTGCTGCAGTTATTACAGGATTCATAACTTGTACTAAGTTGAGTTGTAGAAGCAGCAACAGTGTAGTGCTTGCTTCTGATAGTATAATGTTGCTTTAAACATATAAATACAGCTTTTAACATTGAAATTACTGCTGTTACGGAAAATCTTTCATCTTCTGTAGAGCTAACAGAAAAATTGGCAGATTCTGCAGTACTTGCCTGTAACAAGATGAACAGGTCATAAGCCAGTAATGGGAAAACAACAGTGGCTGAGTGTGTTGTCTGGATTTTCTAGGAGTTAGGCTTTACTGCCCACTGGAGTGCATTTACCCTTCCACTGGAGTATAACTACTTCTACTGGTAGGCAAATGGAATGTTTTAAGTATACCCCTTCTAATCTTTGGCAGCTGCTTCTTAGATTGATAAAACATAACTATTCATAAGGATGGGTGTTTGAAGACTCTGCTGTAAACAATGTTGACATTGAGAATGAGAGCTGGTGCATGACTCTGGCCATGGATGGACACTTCTTCATGGCACGTTTAGAACCCCTGTTTGCTTTTTGTGACTGATCCACCTCGACTGTGGGCTTTCAGAGAACCATGCAGCTGAAGACCTAATAAACAGAGATCATGTACAACTTTAGGACTTTTGAAAGGTATTAAAACTAAGTACCAAATACATCTCCTTTAGCTTAAAACTAAATTGCTTTTCTTTGTTGGTGTTTTGTTTTTTTTTTTATTCTGATATCAACTGTGTTAAGTATGACTTAGGCAAGTTTGAGACAAGTGCCTGGCCATCCAAAAGGGGCAAATTTTATGCTTTCACAGTTGCTGCATTGCAGGCAACTACTGTATTCCTTGATATTTCATGAAGTGTTCAAGTCTACAAAGTTCTTCTGCTGATTTCAATTTTTTTTTTTGTTAATACATCAGTCAAAACTCAGCTTGCATTTAAAGATACTGGGGTTGGATTTTTGGGGGTGGGGGAGGGAGCAGGTTTCAGTAGGAACCATTCCTGTCTTGCTTAAAAACCAGTTACTTCAGTTTAGTGCCTTTCAGTTGCCTCTTGTACCACTTGTAAGTGGTAGGAGGCCAGCTCAGCTACTCAACAAGCTAAAAGACCCCTCCTGTCCTCTGACAGTCACCCATGTACTTGCTACCTTAACCCTTGCAGCTTCCATTAACTTTTGCAGCTTCACTCCTATCTTGTTAGTGTATTTTTATGTGGGGAATGCTGACAACTCTATAAGGAGTCCCAAACCACTGCGATGAAATGAATCCAGCGTCATTTGTCTTGACGGAGCTAGTTTTCAGAACTGTGCACCTAATCTCCTGCTCTCTGTGCCACCCTTTCCAGGTGGAGGTGATACTTGGCATCAAAACAAAGTTAAGTTAACAGGGAGTGCTTAAAAAAAAAAGCTGTTCCGGGGCACAAAAGTTAACTTTTTCTCTCCTGTAGTCTCTGAACAAACTCCATTTCACCTGACTAGACTAGAGCTTGTGTGTGCCAGTGAGGTAAAAAACCTAAATCTCTGCTGGTAAAGTTGAAATAAGTAAGGTTCATTGGTTGACTGTAACACTGGTGTGCACGTGTGCAACTAGTCTTGTCTGCAGTAGACTTTCATTCTGCAGCCACATCAGCTTGCTGTGGGTGATTGCTAGTCACAGAGTTTCTTGGCAATGGATTTAAATGAAAGGAACTTACTTTTTCATTACCAAAGATTTGTTTAATTTTTTTTTTTTTTTTTCCCACAAGGCTCTTAAAAGAAAAGGGGTGGAACACAACACAGGAATTAATTGCAAACCTGTGTCTTGACTATCAGGGCCGTATTTTCCTTCCAATTGAGGGAACAGACGGAGTGAGGAAGTCGATAATGTTACATTCAGTTCTTAGGATGGGGAACCACCAGAGGTCATGTGTAGCACCTGAAACAGTGCTTTTCAGTTCCTGTCCTGTTCTTCAGCAGTTAAATTATGCTGATTCTCCTGAAGCAAATCTCTAGTTGAAGAGAAATGTTTGCTATTAGTGTTATTAAGGAAAACCAAATACATTGGACCAAACGTGTTGCAGTTAAAATAGGGGTTTTTTTTATTTACTGGTTGGATCATGGTCTGTGGCATCTGTATTTACCTCATCTCCCATTTAAAAAAAAAAATGTGCTGTTTTCTGTATTATTTCTCTATTTGTAGTTCGGTATTCTCTATGTTTAAACATGTGCATTTGTATATTAAATTAAATTTTCGGCTGCCTAGTGTGTGACTGTTCTGATCCTGTCTGATGAGACTGTTGCTACCTGCCAGGTGTTCTTTTACAAAGGAGAGCTGCACCTCATCCCGCTGTCAGAGACCCAGGAGCAGGAATGTGACCTATCTGCCACCACTCTGACAATCTCGCAGGCGGTGACGCTGTTGTCCACCTGTTCAGAGGAGTTCCTGGCTGCAGAGCCCATCCCAACAGCAGTGTAGAAGCGCATCAGTGGGTATGTGGGTGTTTCACTTTGGTCTTCTGCAACAGTGAGTTTTGATTCTGGGCTGTCTGGGGTGCTTTCTTGTATTCAGTCGTTTTCCTGTTAGGTGTGATAAAGTGGCTTCCTTTTCAGAAACTAGTGTTTTTTCTGTGGTCTTCTTCTGAAGAGGGGGACCAGTGCCCTGTAGGCTGTGCTGTGATCTGGGGGCTCTGGAACTGGTTCACTGCTGTGATGCCACACCTGACAAGGACAAGTTATTCTGCCTTCACAGTCCTTCTTGTACTGAAAAATCTGGAAGTTCTGTGGGCCTTTAGGAGCCCTTTGAGGAGGGAGAAAAAGGATTGCAAACTAAAGTGTAGAACCATCACGCTTTTCAGAGCGATAGCTTCTCACAGGTCTATTCAGCACCATAAGTTATTTTTTGCAAGGATTTGACAGCACGAGCCAGATGACTTCTACACCTGGTGCAGTGAAGGATGCTGTGTAGTAGGACATGTTAGTCAAGGTCACAGTGATTCATTTTACCAATGTGGGGATGAAATTTTTATTAGCCATGTATAGTTCTGTATAAACAGACATGCCAGGTGTTAGATTAGCGGAGTTTTAACTTTAGTTAGAATAATCATCTGGCATTTGGCCCATAATACAGATTAGTATTAAAGTGAAAATGGAAATATTAGCTTAAAGAGTGGTTTCAGCTTGCGATGCACTTACTACACTATGTTGTTATTGTACAATACAGGTATCCTGAGAAAATTCAGGCCTCATTTCACCGAGCCCACTGCTACCTTCCAGCAGGCATTGTGGCAGTGCTGAGGCAGCGCCCTTCGTTGGTGGCTGCAGCAGTCCAGGCCTTTCACCTGCTGAGAGCCTGTGGATTTACTGAGCGTGTGGCTCTTTTCAGACTTTCTCCTCCAGACGAGCGTGTGGTGACCATAGTAAGTGATCCTTCTGATGAAACTTGTCACTGAATTAGGTTCTGTAAGTGACGAAGGTTCTGTGGTCAAGTGATACAACTCTGTGGATTTAATTGTTAAAATAGAATGTTTTCTGATTTATTTTTTAATTTTGACACTAGACATGCATTTCCAGTTCTTTATGTTAAATAGCTTTTCTGCCTTCAGATTGACATAGCTAGGCTTTCAAGTAGCTAATCAGAAGTGCTTCTGAAATCAGAGGTTACTGTTAGTAGCTCCTCTGCTGGAATGCTCGCTAAGGAAATTCATCCAGTTCCGTGATCAGAGCAGTCTGACAGCACTGCCAGCCAACGCCAGGAGTTGCTCCTAACTACCCCTAGGTGTTCATTCCAAGGCTTTTCCCCTTCTCAGCGGTGCTTACGCAGCTCTGTGAAAGCTACTTTAGGAAGTGGTTTATGTTCCTTGTCCAAGCAGTGTTGTATTGGATATGTTTGCATAACAGAGTTATACCGCTAGGCTCCTGAAAATAAGTTTGGGAGTCAAATTGTAGATTTCTTGACTGTTTTTGAAATCTCAGCTTTGGTTTTGTTAATTGAAAAGAGCCCGTACATTTTTCAAAATACACCATGTTGGCCTGAATACTGAGGATCTTTTAAATGTCTTTAAACTGAATGAAGTTCGGAGTTTATTTAGAGATGTCAACTTGGAATATACTTCATTAGATCTGAAAAGCAACATATCTTAATCAAACATGTCGAAGATGTATTTTGATTACAATCTCAGGGTATATGGGTGATTTAAAACAAAATTCAGAGAAAACTGGTGGAAAGTTGATGCCTGTACACAGCACAGTCACACTGCAGTAAGTTATTTTCTTTTGCTGGGGCTTTTTCAGGTTACTTTCACAGTGTGTTTCTATGCACAGCTGGTGCAGCAGATGTTTGTTCTGGATAGACTGCAGTGGATACACGCTGCCCCTCCCATCTCACCCTCAATACAAAGCCTATGAACTGGGCATGAAGCTGGTAATTACTTTTTATGCATTTTGTACTTAGTCTTTAGTTTGCTTGTTTACATATGTCCAAGAAATTACTCTGCTTGTAAGTTGCCTGCTTGTACAGAATAATGCGAGCAAATTCAGTCACCATTTTTCTGGAAGTACATTATTGTGGGAGCTTTCTTTTACAGGCTAGAGCACTCTTGTACTTATATAGATTACAAGTACAGGTCAAGCCTTCATGCTTGTATGAGGAGTAGCTTGTGCACTACAGATCTGTCTTCCAGGTTGCTTTTGCCATGTAGAGAAACTTTGCGAAGTCAGAATGAACCATTATTGCTGCAGAAAGACAGATTTCAACTTCCAAAGCAAGATACTGCTCCCTGACATATAATTGGGTTTGGCACCTACTTCTCAAGTGGCAGTATCAGGAGCTCGATGGCAGTCAGTTCTTACGTGGTCATTTAAAGGTGCACTTAAATTTGGCACATCTGGAGAGTCTCATGTTGTTGCATCTCTTATACCGGCCCACTGGCTTTGAAATTTTGTGCTCCAAGTGCAGTAAAGTATCTCCTGATTCCAAGAGAAATGTGTTAAGCGGTCCCCTGTGGGCGAGATTCCTCAGCAACCTGAAGGAAAAGAATTATTTCAAGGTGTAGTTGTGTGTGTGTGTTTGTCTTTTAAACATGCCAGGAAAAACATGTTGTAGCTCTTGAACTTGTGTAAGTAGTTACAGCAGGGCAAGATATCTGGTGCTTCTGTCTGTGGGAAATTAATGGATGTCTCTACAGGAGATCTGTGCAGTTTGTTCCCTTTGAAATGAATTAATTTCTTTTGGAAATTAAAAAGGAAAAGGCAGGATTTGGGGATGAATTTATTCATCTAAAGAAAGTGGAAATACACTCGAATAAAGGAGAACCACAGTGTGGCTGATGTGTCAGTATAACTTTTAACTGTTTTACATTTCATTTGCATGCATTTAGAATTAAATATTCTTTAAGATCTATACTTAACACCCATCGATACATTTGGGGCCATGTAAGTGTATTTTTTGTTTGTGAGGGGGTTTTATTTGTTTTGTTTTGTTTTTTTTAAAAGATGCCTTTGACTGCTTATTTGAAGTTTACAAATCGGTCATAAATTGACTACTTATTTGAAGGTTATAGAATCAGACAACTCAGGAATGCTTAGGTTAGTATCTTGTAAATATAAGAGAAGAGGGAATATGCTTACAGTACTGCAATGCCACTTGTATGGGTAGTTCCCCAAACCCAAGAGATTCATTCACAATCCTTGCACAATTGTAACTTGGGCATGGTAAATACACCGTGTTGTAAGAATCAGTAATTTCTTTGTTTTTAGTGTACACCATATGATATTGTAGCACAAGACTTCAATTCATATTTGACAGTGAAAACACCTTACGCCCCTTTCCTATATTCTGTTCCAAGCATACGTGGCACAGCAGTATTACTTGTTTGGATTTTTCTCAGAACTAAATTTCTGTCTGACAAATAGTCATTGTTACGAAGCATGTCTGTGGAAAGGAAGGGGAGGGAGAATTCTTTAGATTCATACTTGTGGCTTGCATTAAACTAGGGAGAAATGGAAGGATCTGCTAAATACTTGGAAGTGCTGCACAGGGCAGAAGATTACTTCCAACAGTCTGTTACCAAGCCAGAAAGGTAAGAGCTACTTGAAATTCATGAATAACCATACACAGTACCTGCAAGTACTTTAATTTACCTTTTTTAGTACTTGTTACAAAAAACCTGAACCCTTTTCTCCACTGTACACTTAACATAGGTGCTGTGGCTAAGACATAGGGGTATTAGTTCCTCTAGAATACTCTACTAGTAGAAGTTACTGCTTGAGTAACTATTTATCTTGGTTTTGTAAAATGCTAAGCTATTCCAAGTGGGTTAAGAGGTGACTGAAAAGCATCATTTGGCTGGTTGGTTATAGAAAGTGTTTAAAAGCTTAATTGAAAATCAATCTTAGTGAATAAGAAATATGGAATAATCTGTCTCCTCTACTAACGAGAGGCAGCTGGCTGTAGATTTCTCCAAAAGAACAAATCCAAAAAATAAATCATTACAAAAACATCTGAGGGTTTGCCAACTCATAATATCTTGACTGTTAGTTGCTTGAGTTTCCAGTCTTGTGCTGTTTGGGATCTGGCAGTCCTAATGTTTACCAAGGCAAAATAAATATAAATAACAAAAGAAGCATGAGAAATTTGCTTTGGAGCCATCAACAAGGAATAACAGTAACTGACTGTGTCCTGTTTTGGCTAATGCTATTGGTGTAGTATTCTGGTACTTCCCCCAGATTCACTTACCTTTTTGATGTCTTTGCACAGAAGGAATCGTGAGGAATTGGAGTGAAAACTTGCGTGTAGTGTGTGTGATGCCACTGATATCATAATGCTAGTAAAAATCCATTTCAGTAAATGGAATTTTTTCTTCTAGCTCTTTTGAAGTGAGCCCAGGTGATGAAATCTTGACACTGCTACAGACAACAACTGTTGATTTGAAGGAATTTGAGAGAGAAGCAGCTTGTCTTCCTCCAGAGGATGGTGAGCCGGATGGGGGGTGGGACTGTTCCTATCACAAATGAGTATTTGTTGGGGAAGACGGTGAATGTTCACAGCACTGTACCAGTCTCTTTATCGATTTAGTCTCCTACCATGTGACTGCTGGAGGTGTTATTCATGGGCCAACATTTAAGATGAAGGCAACCAGTTCGTTGTATAAGCTCGGGGCTGTGAACTGGCGAAATACGCAGTCCAGTTTCTGGTTTGATACCACTAGACTGATAACACCATGCACACTTATACCAGATCAAGTCCTTTGTGTCAACTGGATACCAGACAGGAGGTATTTAAACATTTAAGAATAATAATAAATCAATTCCAGTACTGACAATACAAAGTTAATTACTATCTGGTCTACTCTGATGGCCAATACAAGACCAGCATAAACTTTATATAATAGGTTCTTTTCACTCATGTTACATGAAATGCAGTTGTTGCCAGTGTGCAGCACAGGTCACAGTCTGGATTTCTGAATGATGCCTTAGCATGTAAATCCAACATTCAGCATTAATGATTGTAGTGGAAGGTCTTCCTTTATAGTGTAAGCCTTTTCTTCCTTCATTTAGTGGCAGAAGGATTACCTGTGGCTACAACAATTTCTGCTAGTTTGAAGCTGCATGTAAAGCAGAGTTTTAAAGTAGTCAAATGAAATCCGAACACTCTTCTCAGCCTCTCTCTGCCTTATACCCCAGTGTTATTTTGTATCAGCACTGAAAACTTAACAGTGCAAAAATAAGCTACAAAATGCTAGCAGTACTCTCAGCCATCTGGATTGGGTTTTGTGGCCATTGTGGGCTGACAGATTTGTGCCGAATAACAAATATGCCCTATATTCTTTCAGATGACAGTTGGCTGGACATTACAGCAGATGATCTAGATCAGATGCTGAAGGAGGCAAGAAACGAGTCCCTTCCTTCCTCAAATGAGGAAGAGCAGAAATAAGACTTGGAAGCAGTTGCTGAAAGTATGAAGGCTTTTGTATCCAAAGTCTCACCACATGAAGGAGCAGAAATGCCACGGCAGTAGTATTTTTAAGTTTGGTGTGTGGTGTAGAATGTGTTTTCATTCTGCTGTAGCCCTTTGGTTGATTCTGTAATGTGCAGAATCAACGTTTGAAAGAGTTCAGCGTAGCAGAGGCCTGAAACAAACCCATGTTACCAGTGAATATGTAGTTGCTTTTAAACCAGTTTGGTACACCACTCTGACAGTGGTGCAGGTAAAAATGCTGGAAGCTGTGTTATTTTCCAGCTCTCTTACTTAGTTTGGTTTTGTGGTTTTTAAAATTTTTTTTAATGCTTTTAAGTTGAAGGCTTCTTGTTGTTCATTAAGATAGTTCTTAGCACTGTTATTAAAATGCACATCTCAAGTTCATCTGTGCATGAAATTTTTCTGCCATGAAGGACTGTTCAGACTAAGATTCTACTGATGAAGCTGTGAAGAAAAAAAATGAAACTTAAGTTGGGGGAACCTGTGAATTAAGACTATTGATTTTTGTGGTACAGTTGAATTTAGATTTCCTGTAGATTAGTATTTTGAATATACTAGGCCTGGTTTTCCACACCTAAAGCACATACTGTACACCTAGAAGCAGGAGCAAAGAATCAAATCACTATGGATCCCTGTCATTGTTCCCAACAGTGGGAGTGCTAACTGAAGATACCTAACTAGTTAGGCAACAGCAGAATGCCGCTAGATTAAGTGCTGGAGTTAAGAAAGTGTGTGTGACTGTGGTGTGGACAGGCCTTTAATTTTAAAAACCAAAGGGTGAGGTAGGAGCATATTGTCCAAGTTCTTTTTAATAGCTTTAATATTGAGAAAATAATGCTGTGTAAACTGTATCAAGCGTATGAGGGTCTACTCAATTTATACTCTTAATTGTTTGATCCTTTTTAATTACTGTTAGTGTCAATGTCTGAGTTATAATGTGGACTTTTTTCAGTTATTTAAAAAATAAATATGAAAAAAAAAAAAAAAAAAGGGCAAACCACTGAGCCTTAAAAGAGACTAGAATGAAGCCTGCAGTGTTCTTTCTAGGCAGGAGACCTCCAAGATTCTCAGCTTTTTAAATCTTTGTCTAAGGTGTACCACCACCACTTTGTTCCAGAAAGATTCAGGCATGCTTATTTTGGTTCCCTTCTGTGCAGTTTTTATTTGACCACAACAAACGGTTAAAGTTGTTGGGTTTATTTTCTCTTTCATGCCAGGAACTCCTCCAGTTGCTGTTTCATTCCTAGTTCATACAGGCCTCAGACTTCTAAGCACTTCCAAGACCATCAGTTGAAATGTTCCAACTTCAGTCTAGGCTCGAGAGAAATCTGTATGCCGTATGGGCTTATGTCTGTGTCAGCTTATGCAAGCCTAAAAGCTTTATTTATTTAAATCTTTTTTAGATTTCAGGTCACCTGATGAATCCCATGTTACCTTTGATGTAGATTCTTTTACAAAAGCGTTAGACAGAATTTTAGGTGAAGATTGCTTCTTTGTTTCTTTGTCAGAATATCTCATGGTTATTTGGCTTTCCTGGGTCATCCATCCGTCACCCATGGTCGCTGTGCTGATTTGTTTGCTATCTGTACTGACACAAAATAATATATATGTAGGGGCAGACTCAGAAGAGCTGGATTCTGATGGTCTGGATGAAGAGGAGGAGTTTGATTTCTCGAATGAGGATGATGAAGACTTAGATGTGGAAGATCAAAGGCAAGACCAGAAGGTGCCGCCTAATGAGCTTATAGGCAGTCTCAAGTCATACATGAGTGAGATGGACCGTGAACTGGCACATACCAACGTTGGTAAAAGTTTCCCCGTCCAAAAGAGAGGGATAAGTATGCCTCGAGTTCTAGTTTGTAGCATAAAGTGTTGAGAGCTTTAGGTAGGAAAGAGGAAGTATACTAAAAGTGATCATTCCGAGTAATGTAATCAAAAACTTGTGTCTTCTAATCATGTGCTAACTAATTATTAAAAAATAAAGCGAAAATCGCATGTGCAAGCAAAATGTGCTGCAGCTGCACCATGGTGTATTTTTCTGGGGGGTGGGGGCGTGGGAAGAAAACCAACTTAGGGAAGCTTTAACTTGCACATTGTTTCCAAGACTTAGTTTCATTTCCCTGTTTTACCCTGTTTCAGTAGTAAGGCAAGCAGCTGCAGCTTGACTATTTGAGTTCCTGTAGAAGATCACGCCCATAGGAAAGGGAGCCAAGACTCAGTAACCCTCTATGTCCTTCTCTTGGAACTTTATCTGTATAATGGAAAGTGATGATTTTTAACTGGCATGCGCATTTGGTGACTAAATTCCTGTCTGTCAAGGACAGTGTGGAACATACTGAACTTTGTTGGCTGCAGAACTGTCTCCTTGTTTTCTTCTCTCTTGTGGTTTGTCTTTTTTTTTTTAAACCTGTTTATAAAGTTTGATAAAACTTTGTCTTTATACTTACTATAGGCAAGTTCTGTTAATGCAACTACGTCTCAAAGTGCTGGCCCTGATTCGAGCTAATACTGAGTTGACACCAGTTGATGTGGATCAGAACCTGGTAGCTAACCTGCTCGAATCCTACAGTGCTCAATCTGGACTGGCAGGACCCACCTCTAACATTTTACAGAGCATGGGAGTATGTTTACCTGAAAATGCAGATCATATTGGCTCTAACAATCGAGCCACAGAATAAAAGGCTGTCTTAGTGCAGAAAACATGGCTGATTGAGAAATGAAGCACAGAAAAACTAGCAGTATTTGGAATAAGAGACAAAAGGTTTGAACTTAAAACATTTATGCTTTAGTTATGTGACTTTAAAGATACAAAGTGAATTTACCTGCAAAAGCCATCTGTTTGGATACTATCTTGGATAGAAATCAGATTTTTCCAGTGCCATCATGTTTTCAGAAAACTGAAAAATGATGTTGTGACTGGAATGAAACTTTTATTACAAAAACCTGTCTTCAGTTTTTTCAGATCAGTGATACAATTTTGCCATATTTCTGAAATGTCCTTTACCCATTACTAGGTGGTTTCAATACCTGTAAAGCAGCTCATGGTCTGAAAATGCCTCTGCCTTCACGGGGAGATGGAGGAATACCATATTATAGGAACAGTGTTCTCTTGTGGATTTTTCAACACTGGTTAAATGTTCAGCAAACACTTAATTGCTTTTCCAAAAGTACAAGGCTTTGTTCTAAGAACTTCTGATAATTACTGTAAGAACCTGTTCTTTATTAATCAGGAGGATTTGAAGAGTAATTGGATTGAACATGTAAATATTTGCTCTAAGTATTTTTTAAAATTTATTTGAATAAAAGCAGAAATACAACTTGATTACTGGAGCTGGGTTGTTTGTTTTGTTTTGTTTTTCTCTGAAGGTATGCATAACTTCCTCAGTACAGTATCAGAAGTTCTTGGAGTTAAAACACTTTCATAATTGGGCATTTTTTGAATTTCACTATTGCTGAATGTGGGTATTGTGCCAGCAGTAGCTGTATATGAGCCCAGTCTGAACTGTTTTGTTTGCTAGAAGGCGTTCAGCATGTTGCTCCCACATGGAATGAAACATATATTCTAGATATGGAGACTTAGCTTTAACAAGATAAATTTGAAATAAGATATGTAGAAGTTCCTGATTTACAGACAGCAAGAATGCAGTCCTGCGAGATCTGGATCGGTTTCTATGAGTCTTTTCTTTATTTTTCCTTCCCCTGCAACATTTAATCAAGTGTCTTAACTGGTAGAAGAGAAACTCATTGGTTGAGGTTTTGGGGTATTGTGGGGTTTTTCTGTTTTGTTTTGTTTTTTTAAACATGTTCAAAAAAATAATATTCAGTGATACAAAAGCCTGATTGATCCTGAAGGCATACCTGATTGCTTTTAAAGGACTAATTGTTATCATCTTCATTATTAATATTGTTATTATTGATGTTGTTAGTATTAGTCTTAAGGCTTGGAGTCCATTTAGTTGAAGTATTTGTTTTAATTTTTTTGCATGTTAAGTGTTGGCATTATTTTAACTGACAAAGCAGAATGTAGCGAAAGTTGTTTCTGTGTAGGACACTTGTTGGATGATGAGTCTTGCTGTCTGACTGCCATGCCAGCTGAGTTTGACCAACACACAGAAAATTCTTTGAAAGTCACACATTGGCATAGTTACACCTGAAATTCATGAGACTTTGACAATGTACAATGAATGCTTGTTTGCTGACTTCTCTACTGATCTGTGCTCACAAGTGGCTTTTTTTTTTTCCTAATTTTTGTTTGTTTTTCAGATGACAAATATCTGGTAAAATGCTCCAGTACAGCATCACAAATATGCATGGAATGGAAGTGGTTGAAGGGTATGATGGCTATGCTACCTCCATATTTGTCCTCCCATCACTGAAGTGCTGACTTCCTTTTCCCGTTCTCTCATTTTACTCTGTAATGCAACAACTCCACAGTCAAGAGCTCTAAGACCAATAACTAATAACCACCTCAATCTCCCCACTAACTTGTGAGAAGAATCCGACGTTGCTTTCCATGGCAATCCATGCATAGCTGTTTCAGTTGCCTGGGGGGTAGCCACAGCCCCATTACCTATTTCAGGCCATGCTTCCAGCAGAGCCAATTTAGCCAGGAAAGTGGCCACAGGGAACAAGGGGAGTCACCATCATGGCCTCCCCAGTCCCTGACTTCTTGGCATGGCTGTTCCTGGATCCCACTGACTATGCCAAATGTGTGATCTGAGAGAGGCAGGACGCAGGAACAACCACAAAACCACAGACGGAATACAAAATGTAAATTTATTCTCGTTACCTCCCATCCCAGGGGATCTCCGCAACATCACAGGGGCAGAGGCAGGCAAGCGGGGACGTAGGCACTGCGGAGCTCAGTCCTTGCTAGCTAAAAAGAAGAGAAGGAAAAGATACTGAACATGCTGGTTTTGCCTCTATATCAGGGATTTTCACAGGTAGAGTTTTCCACTGTGTAATTTAGATCGTTCCCATAGCAGGACAAGAACCTCAAGGATGTTTGATGAGGCACCTCTGAGTCTATCAGCTGCCAATGGTGTCTAGATGCAGATGTCAGACATACAAAGATAAACAACCAGTATGATCTACACCCCAGATACAAGTCCCTTCAATGTGTTTACAGACCTACTCACCAATCTTCCATTATCTTCCCATACCCACAGATACTCAGTTCAGCCTCTACCTGGCCTCCCCTGCCAGGCCCTCTGAGACAGCCACAGCCTCACAGGGATGGGTGAGGTTGTTTTTAATTCTCTGTGCCATATGAGGAGTGACAACGATCAGCCAAAAGCTTTCTACAAATAACAAGTTTTTACCTGAAATTCGACAGTTGCACAACGGATAGTATGGCAGCTAGGCAAAAACTTGAACAGCAACAAAAATTTGCAAATAACAATGAAAACAGTGGCTGACGCAAAACTTAGCATGTATACTGACAAACCATAAATACACTAACAAACCATACAACACCTAATGTATGCCAACAAGCCTTAAGTCTTCTAGCATATACCAATGAGCCATATATGCAGAGAACGGAGAGTGAAAGAAAAGGGGAGAAAGAGAAAAAGAGACCTAGAGAATAAGGGGAGGGAGGAAGGAGGGAGAGAGAGAGATTTCACCAGTCCTGGTTCCAGCGTTGGTCCAGCCAGCCTAGAGGTCCAGTTCTGGAGGGGCACCATGCGGGGCTTAAATTCATGTCTTTAAGTACAGGTACTTGGGTTCATTAGGGCAATTAGGTGTCATGCACAGTTCACACTTCTAGAACCCACCAGGCCCTGGTGCATGCACAGTATGTACCCTCAGAGCTCTCTGGAAATGGGTCAGTGAGCTTGGGATTCGCTGGGAGCTACTCCGCTCTCCATGCAGGCATGACCAACATCCAGTCCTTCCTCTTGGTGCACACATCAGGAAAATCTCACTTGGCTCTTCATGGTCTCGCTCAATTCAGAGAATTCCAGTCAAAAAGTTGCAGTCCCACCTCTGAGGGACCCCCCCCACCTTCTCTTACCACATCTCCCTGTCATTGCATGCATTACTACAGCGTTCTCAAAGAGAATGTCTACTTTGTCAAAGATACCCACCGGATGATTGAGGCATCAGCTGTGATTTTGGTTGGACCATCACAAACGCAAAGTGCAAGGATGGGGTGCCAAGCCCTCAGCAACCACATCAGTGGGGTGACTGCTCCTGAAGCAAGTGCACAGTCAAATGCTAAAGGGGACCCTGCTGATGTCACTGTGGCCGTTGTGACCCGCGGGGGGGACAAGCCTACATAAAGCATCGCTGGGCTCAGGCTGTGCCTCAGTGCGACCTGGTGAGGTGAGGGGAGGGCAGGGGGGGACGGGGCTCGTGCGGGGCTGCCGAGGGAGGAGGGCGGCCCCGTGCCGGGGGGCGCTGGGCCTCTGCTGCAAGCTGACCTGCGCCCTGCTTCTCCCCCAGAGTCAACCGAGGAGCACTTGGGAGAGACACCCCAGCACTGCGGGGACAGCGACTCTCCCAGCACTCACTGTTGATGTGCACCATGTCTGCGAGGAAGCAGAAGGCCGCCGACTTGATGGAGCCAGGTGAGAGCAAAGCATCCCTCCCGCAGCATAGCAGAGGGGCTGTCGGGGCGCTCAGCGTGGGGCCGAGAGCGGTGGCAGGGGCAGCCAGGAGCTCCCCAAGCGCCCCGGGGCAGGGCCCCTCCGTGCCGCAGCCAGCGGGGCCCAGGCTGGGCCGTGGGCACCTGCTGCTGGGACACTCGTGCCTGCAAGGCCAGCCCTCAGGGATGCTTGCCCCGGCCCTGCAGAGGTGAGCTGCTCATTCCCGCTGTCGTTTGCTCTCTCCCCTCCAGCATGCATGCTGTGTGGCCGGGCAGAGGCTGACCCGGACATCTACGGGTACAGACTGCAGGATCTGCAAGGGCTCTGCGCCCACCATTTTTGCCTGGTGAGTGCCCCCGGGGCTCCCTCCAGCTTGCCGACAGGCAGTCCCGGCCACGCTCTCCTCCTCATCACCTCCTCGTCTCATCTCGTCTCTCTGCAGTATTTTGCCAACGGCCTCTTCCAGCAACGGGTCAAAAATGTGGGCCTGATGGGATTCCTCTTGGAGGATATTTGCCATACAGTCGAGCGGGCAGCGCAGCAGGTGAGGACTGGACAAGCTCAGGGAGATCTGTGGTGCCACGGGAGCGGTGTGGGAGCTTAGCCCAGACCCCAAGAAAGAAATCCCATCCCTTCCAAGCAGCTCTGGGACAAAAGTCTCGTGCCCAGCAGCTCCACAGAGCCTCCACCCAGACCCAGCACAGGAGCCTCGTGCGCCGGGCGCATCCGCGGGCTCTGACCCAGCAGTGGGGCCGCATCCTGCGCCCTGCCCGGAGGCGTGGGGCTGGCTGTGGAGGCCCTGAGGCTGCCGCTGATGGGGGCTGCTCTGCTCTTTCCAGCGCTGCTTCGTCTGTGGCGAGAGCGGGGCCGCCATCACCTGCTGCCAGGAGGGCTGCGACCGCAGCTTCCACCTCCCCTG